AGTCCCTCAGGAATAATTAATCAGGCTACTTGGCTTCCCCCCACGCATCATTCTCTCTCCTCTTCCTTCCTCCACCTTGAGTCTCCCCCTTTGCTGGTTCCTTCCTTGCTGCCTAAACACTAAAAAAACCTTGGCTTAACTCTGCCATCCCCCTCAGGAGAACGGCCAGTTTCTTTTCTTGCTTTTATTTCATTACCAAGCTCCTGCAAAGAAGCTTCCACCTTCACTGCCTTCATTTCTCTACGTTACACTCACTGCTCAGCTCCTCACAGGGTGGCCCTGAGACTGTCCTCCCAAGGTCACCAATGACCAGTTAACGGCTAAGCCCCGAAGCCCTTCCCTGACCGGTTTGAGCATCCATTCTAGCTTTTACCATTTCTGCCTCCTCTGTCCAGTCTCTAACCCCAGGCCCCCTGGCTCTGTCGCGGGGGGGCCCTCTTTCCTTTTCTCTGTTTTCTTCCTTGGTGACTTCATTTGCTCCCATGAGTTCTGGTACTGTCTCTATTTGGATGACTTCCAAATCCAGTTCTCCCTTCACAAATCACAGCCTTAATCCTGGGATTTGATCTCCAAGGGGTCCATGAACTGGGAGGGGAAAAAACTACATGTCTACCCCAATATGGTTTCTTCCCTTTTTCTTCCGGCTTATTTTATATTATGCATTTAAGAACGCCCTCATGGGAAGGGCTGCTCTGGCTTCACCAGTCTGCTGCCCGGATGCACAGCCCTTGGCCGACTCTTTCCCCTGGCCTCCAGCCCTGGGTCTCCAAATGTCTCCTGGTCCTTTTGGATCTGTCCTTTGACCCTGGGCTTCTGTTGAGGGCAGCACCATCTACCTGGTGAGCCGGGCTCTGCCCCTCCCACCAATCCCTAGCCCTTCACTTTCTCTTGCCCTCCAGATCACATTGCCAGCTCCTGTCAAACCCACCTCCACAACATGCTCTCTAAGTAATGGCCAAAGTCCCGGCCTCAACATCAAAGCTCCTGGTTTTCACATTACAGCTCTTACATTTACTAGCAATGAGACCTTGGGCAAGTCACTTAAGCTTGGAGGATCCTCAGTTTTTTCATATGTAAATGAGAATAATACTTATGTTGCCAGGGTGTTTGGGCAAAAGCACCTTGCAAACCTTAAAAATGTTTTAATCAATGTGACTTTTACTGTTACATTCACCAGAGGACAGTGGAAAGAGCACTGAATTTGCAGTTAGATGACCCTTTTGAAACCTGCCTCCGCCACATTCTAGGTGACCTTGGACAAGTCATTTAACCTCTCCTTGAGCCTCAGTTTTCTCACCTGTAACACGAGGGAGGCTGAACTAGATGGTCCCTTGGTCACTCCCCGGCCTAAGTCTGAGCACATGATCTTGAGCTTCCACCCCTTCTCCCTGCTCCCAGGACTCCTGCCTCCACTTGAGACTCATCCCCTCTCGGGACTAAACCTCTGGCTTCTAATCGCTTCTCTCTTCAGCTGAGGCTGACCACAGCACACGCTCTTCTGCTCAGGACCTCCAATGCCTCCCTCCCATCTCTGGGATCAAAGAGTAACTCCTGAGCTTGGCCCCGAAGGCCCTGCAGCACCTGGAGGCCCTACCTTTCTAGCATTATTTAACATATCATTTGCATTCTGGACAAGCCGGACAACCTACTGGGTCCTGAACTGATGTGCCAAATGTCCCCCATGCCTGGCATACATCTTCATCTCTGCCCGTGGGGATCTTTCTCTTCCCTCAAGCCTGTCACCACCTTCTCCAGGAAGCCTGCCTGGACCCCCCCAAGTGAAAGGGTTCAAGTTCCCCAGCCTCCTCAAGTTTTCCTGGAGCATGCAGTCTAAATCTGTCTTTGCTCTCATCACGCACAGTCCTGGAGGTACCGTACTGGTACTGGTACGGTACCACCGTACTGGTCTACACAATGTCCCTCCACACATAAGCCCCATGACGGCAGGGGCTGTCCCCACTGAGCACACTGCCTTGCAGACACCAGGAGCCTAGCAAACACTCGCTGCATTTAACCACAAGAGCTCGCCTTCCTTTGTAGCACCAGGTTTTTACAACATCCGCAAAAACTAGACAATGCAGAACCACTGACTACGATCTGGCCCGTCTTCCCCCTCAAGGAGAAGGGTGCTAAAACTGGAAAAGACGGGCTAAAATGAGAACAGAGGGAATTGAAACAAGGTATTTAAGAAGGGAGGAAGACAGCATTAGGCCCTTCAAATGAGTTCAAGTCTGCAGCCAGGGGAGCAGGCATTCCTTCCCAGGATTTCTTTTTCTCCAGCTTTTGTGTTTGTTGGTTGGTTTTTTAGGCAATTGGGGTTAAGTGACTTGCCTAGGGTCACACAGCTAGTACCAGTGTTTGGTCTGAAGCCGCATTTGAACTCAGGTCCTCCTGACTTCAGGGCCAGTGCTCTATCCACTGCGCCGCCTAGCTGCCCCTTCTCCAGCTTTTAAAACCCAGTACTGTCTGTGATTGTGGCCCCCCACAGCCCTCCTCCGTGTGCCAGCCCTGGCAGCCCAGATGAAGGAGAAGAGCCCCACTCCAACATGGGCCGACTCCTCCAGCAGTGACCGAAGGCCTGAGAAGCGCCATCAGCTCGGCCCTGGCCCGGCAAGAAGATCCCACAGCACCATCAGCCCTTGTGTCCAGCCGCTCGGGGTCGTGCCACAGATGGGAATTCGGGCGGACTCTAAGCCAGCTTCTTTCCACGCTCTCTCAACTTGCTCCCCAAGTACAAACCCAGCCTCCCTCGGGCCTTTCTCTCCCCTGATGGGGTGCCTAGAGTGGTGGAATTCCACCACATGTCTCATTCCCTTGTGATTGACAGGGACAAACCAGAGCTGGAGGACGGCCCTGGGCGGGGGAGCTGTCACCAAGATCCCCCCAGTTAAGGAGTGGGCTCGTGGCCGCCTGATCCCACCTACTCCCTAGCCCCGTCTCCTCATCTGTAAGATGAAGGGGCTGGCCCCGGCCAGTGACCACATCCTTTTAGGGTAATTCAAGTATCTTGTTTTAAAAAAACAAAGGCCACAGATGGACAAAAATGGAAATGGCCCCAAACCCAAGGGAAACTGATTACCAATCAATACCCAGGGCAACAACGTTTACTGGAGAACTGGAAGCAAACTTCAGAGAAACGCTCTTCCCACCCCCCAAAGCCGCCATGGCCAGACAAAAGGCTGGGCCAGCGAAGGCCAAGAGCGCCACCTGCGGGGCAACTGTGCCAGAGCCACGCTTCCACTCCCAGCTAACGACCTGCAATGACTTCCTGAAGCAGGGCCTCTCTGCCCTTTCCTGAACTTCTCATCAGCCCTGCAGCATCTTGGGGGACCTCAGGGCTCCTGCGGCATCACTCCCAGAAAGACCCTCAATAGCGTCCCTACAAAGGGCCAAACTGAAGATCTCCAATGATGGGGAGGGAAAGAACAAAGGAAACGCGCATTTATTAAGTACCTACCACGTGCCAGTATGTGCACTGAGAGCTTTACAATGATTGTCTCATTTGATTTTTCGCAACAACTCTGGGAGGTGGGGGCTGTTATTATGCCCATTTTACAGATGAGGAAACTGAGGCAAACAGAGGTGCTGTGACTTGCCCAGGGTCACACAGCTAGTAAGCATCTGAGGCAGGATTTGAACTCAGGAAGATGAGGAGAGAAGGCTCAGAGCAGCCTCTGTGAGAAAGGGAATAAAGAAACAACGAGGGAGGAAGAAAAGGCTTCCTGTGAGGGCCGGTTATGATTAGATAACAAATTCCCAGTAGCCCCGGGGGGGTTGGCTGTTGCTCGGCGGCATTAACAGTCCTGCAGGACATCTGCTGAAGAGCCTGGCCCTGCCAGGCTGCCATTTGCCTGATGCCCCTGGATCCTCCTTCCCTTTCACCTCCTCCAAAGCCCACCTGCTGTCTCCCCACCTGCCCCCTCTCCTGCATTTTCTGTCTTGTCCCAAGGCTAAGCAAGCTGGTCCCGTGAGTGAGGGAGGCCCCTCGAGCCCTCCTCCCTTTTCCTCTGCCTCCGCTGGTAACCTACAGTTGCAGCAGATGGACATGACTGTGCCCTCAACCAGCAAAACCAACAGTTCTGTGGCCCCTCCAGGTCCCGCCATGGCTCCTTCCACGTCCAAGCTGTAACCAGCAGGGTGCCACAAGTCTTTGCCCCAGGATGCTGACGCCATTCCCTCATTCCCCCCAGACTCTGACTTCAGGGTGGGCTCACATTTCTGCAGGGAAGAAGTAAAGCCCACCCCTGCCATTCCCTGGCAGCCTGGGACCCCACGGCCATTGCGCCCTTCTCCCTGGGCAAACCGCCCAGGACTTAGCTGGTGAGGAGCTGTGCTGGGGAGGGGCCGGGGTCAGCAGCAATGGGGGATAGGATCCTCCCTGCCCCTCTGAAAACTGAATTTTCCACACACAAACATTGTCTCTGCATCTCCCCCTGCCAGCAAAGGAGTAAAAGGAAAAGCACCTCAGAGCTCCGCAGAACATCAGGTACAATTCTCAGCATGGCTCTGTTGCCAGGCCCCCCGGTGCTCGGGCCTCCAGGATAACTGACAAGCCTCCCCAACTGCTCCTGGAAACCACTTCTTCTCTCTGCTCTTGAGCAGAAGGGGATCCTGGGAATGGGGGGTCCCCCCCCCAGCCCGCCCCAGCTGCTATCTGGGATGTCCTGAGCCTTCTGCTTAGCAAGCTCTTGAGCTGATCATTCACTGACCTGACCTCCTGCCCCTCCTGAGCACACCCAAAGCTCCAACACCTCCTGGTGCTTCACAAGCATCCTCCCCCAACCCAGTAAAAAGTAATCAATAGCCCACAATATACTGCTCACTTGTTTCCACAGGAAAACCTAAGAATTCACATAAAAAAAATAATAAGACCTAAAAATGTCCTTAAGCAAAAGAATATTTTAAAAAACTAGAATGTGAAGAAGCTGCCCCCAAAATAATTCATACTGAATACTCCCTGAGAAGAGAGACAATGCCAGGTAGAAGCCATTCAAACATACCTGAAAATGCTGCTCCATCACCTGGATTTTACCCTGGTCTGGGCATTTTTTCAAAGCTCGGTCTGCACAGTGGAAGAGGATTTCAACCATCTGGAAAGCAACACCATTAACATCAACCAGCCTTGCCGAGAATGAAACCACAATGTGAACGTCCCATCACCGTCTTCGTCATCACCATGACCATGATCACTACGAGTATCACTGAAATGATGATTTGGGGAGATTACTATCCTCATTCCAAGACCTCAGTCTCTGAAGGCTGAGCTGACCTTCTCCTCTATCCGACCCTACCCAACTTTACAAGGATTCTCTAGTCTAAGGTGAATTCCACCCAATCAAGCTTGGGCAGATAGGCCCTTCTGTCTAGACTGCCCAAAGCTGTCCAAGAGTGACATGATGTCACACAGCCCCTCAGTGGAGTGAGCTCTCTTCTCTTTGTAAAGTCCACCTCTCATTAACTGTGAACCAGTCAGTGCTGACTGCCACCCTCAGGATCACACATCTTCCAAAATGGCATATGAGCCATGAGCCCGCCATGATTGTCTTTGGTCTAACAGAGAGACAGCCAAATGACCATCCTTTTATTAAAATGCCAGCATTATTAACAAAATGATGAAATTACCCAGAAATCGCCTCTGGAACTTTTTTAAAGGCCACATCATCATCATCATCATCTTCATCCCCCTCCTCCTTAAGAGTCTGGTCCCTGGAAGTTCTTGAGCCCTGGTGGGATGACCTCTCTATGAGGGAATCTGTACAAGGGATGGCTGGCTGGACCAGACCACAGGACTTGGAGATCATCTAATCAAGCCTGCATCACTTTGCAAATGAGGAAACTGAGGTTCCCAGGGGTTGTGACTTGCCCAAGGAAGAACACACCGCTCTCTTACAGGTACTGTCTCTCTCACAGGAATGTAAACTGCAGCAGGACAGGGGCTGTGTTCTTTTTCTTTGTAGCCCCAGCACTTAGCGGAGTGCCTGGCACAGAAGGAACAGGAGCCCTTGAATGGAGGGGCTCACATCTGAATCCCGGTCCTCTGATTCCTCAGCTTGCCACCACCCGGGCAGCGGGACAGAGTGGACACAGCCCCAGACCTGGAGGCTGGAGGAGCCTGGTTCAAAGCCTGTGGTGGACATTCCTATCTGTGTGACCCTGGGCCAGTCACTTGATGTCTGCTGCCCCGGCCTGTCTGCCAAAGGAGCCCATGAGGTCGAAGGTCCTTTCCAGCTCTAAACCTAGCATCCTACAATCATCTCAAAACTAGGCACTCACAGAATTCACCCCAGACCAACTGACAATTCTGTTGGGAGGTCTCTGTGACTCTGGGTAACACTGGCTCCTTCTTTGTCTTTCCTGTTATGGGCCTTCTGGTCATTTCATTGGCCATCTGAACCCTCGCCAGAGAGGATGGGGGAGGGGGAAAGATGTCTTTTGTGAACTTTGGCACTGAGCTGGGTGTCGGACTGGATCCGTTTTTCCTGAGTGACAACAGCGTTCCTTTGGAGATCTCCTAGTTCTCCTTCAAGATCGGGGCTCCCTTCCACAAGCCAAGGGTTAGAGAGCAGACAGAATGCGGTGAGAGCTCCCAGAAGGCCAAGGGTCCAAGGGGCAGTGCTCCCCTCTATCAGTTCCACAAAAAATCTGATCTCCTGGGAAGTGGGGAAACTACCATCCACCAAAGGGGTTACTGGTGGGCAAAAGCTGGGGGAGCATTGAAAGTGAGACCTGGAGATGATAAATAGATTTAGATGAAGCACATCCTTCCCATCTATAGTAACTCTGGGGCACTACAGCAGAGCCAGGCTAACGCGGCCTCTCCAATCTGAATGTGCAGACCCATCCGCAGAGAACTCACCCGATCGGCAACAATGGCCTTCCGTTTGCTCGCATCCCCCGACAAGCCTGCAGAGAAACAAAACCCAGGGTGACGTGGAAGCCGGTCCAACCATCCCAGCACGTCAGGAGGGCCAGGGCTCAGTGGGACATCCTGACAGAGACATGCCTTGGAAAAGTAAGCCCAGCAAGCCCCAGGACGGCGGCCCTTTCCTTTTTTGTTTCTAGTAGTCTTTTACTCATTAAATCAATGATTAGAAAAGGGATGTTTTCTTGAACTGTACCTGCCCCCATCTCCTCTCAGAGTGAGCAACCAGAAGGGGCACTCAGAGGGACACCCCAAAAGGAGCCCGCAGGGACAACTCACCAACGACAGCTTTGGCCTTCCCTTCATGGAAAGACCAGGCGAGAGCCAGGGCCTCTGTCAGACACTCTTGCTTCAGGAGATGATCCACTCTCTGCAAGGGAAGAAGGGAAGATGCTGCAGCCCTCTGGGAGATGCCCAGGGTCCGGCCTGTGTTTCCTCTGATATCCCCTACATGGAGATGTGCTGGTACTGAGTGGGCAGAGCCTGTAACTCCTAGTCTTAGAGCTGCCTGGACCACTGAGAGGCCCAGCTCACACTCGCCCCTCAGGCCAGCCTGCTCTCCTTCCCGGCCAGGCTGTGACTCACATTTCTATATTATCTCTGCCTGGGGTCTTTCAGAAACCGCAGCTTACTATTATCACAGGCGATTTCAATCATCCGTGTTTTCTATTCTTAAGTCAATATTTTTTCTAAAGGGCTCACTAGCATAATGGCCACATAAACTTGGTCTACACATGAAAAGACACGAAAATGGGGACTCTCGGCCTCAGCAAACTAAGTTATTTCTTTTTTTTTCTTTTTTTTTTTAGTGTGGCAATTGGGGTTAAGTGACTTGCCCAGAGTCACACAGCTAGGAAGTATTATGTATGTGAGGACGGATTTGAACTCAGGTCCTCCTGACTCCAGGGCCAGTGTTCTATCCACTGCGCCATCTAGCTGCCCCAAAACTAAGTTATTTCTTGCTGGACGGTTTGGCCTGAAGGTTCCGAAAAGACAGAGGATGACGTCACTCTCATTCCGTGTCTTCATCCATCATCTCAGACTCACCTCTCTCCAGCTCCTCAACGTCATCACATAAACAGACTGAAAACAAGAGAAAACAAGGAGCACGTGTCAGACTCCAGATGAGAACTTCCCAAGGGACCCCCATGGTCCAAGTCCCACGGTGTCATGTTCTCCAGGAGTCTATCTCCCAGCACAGCCGGTAAGTCTCCCTGGACAAGGGGGTCAGAGAGCCCCGCAATGACTGGGGAAGAACCCCACAGCTGTGAAGAGGTCGGAACAGGCCTGAGAGGTCATTCAGGCCAAACTCCTCATCTTAGAGATGATGTAAATGACCCCACAGCCAAAGACTCCCCCACCATCCACATTCCACAATCGTCTCTGCAATCTCCCGGCCATTGCCGACCCTTCCCTCCACCCCCATCTCACACACACACACACACACACACACACACACACACACACCACACGCACACACACATGCATACGCGCACACATGCATGAGCACACACACTCACGTGCGCACACGCACACACACACAGTGACAGCACTTACTTTTGTCCCTAAATAAAAGATCTGACCGCCATAACTACTGATGGACTGATAACAGGCTTTCTCTCCAACAAGAGCCTAGAAAAATAACAACCACATGCATTAGGACAGACACACAGGAGTCCTATTCAGTGTGAAAGAATGCAAGGTATACAGAGATCACGTTAAATAAATCTGCTAGAAAACCCACACGCTCCTATCTGTACACCCCCAGATCCATGCATGTACAGCTTTTTGGTTGGGCAGAGGGCTGGCTGATCTCCTCCAGAGAGTACCAGAGCATCATAACTCCAGGGGAAATCCTGGCAGCATTCTGTCATTGAACTGGGAGCTTTTCCCTTTCAGCCAATTAAAAACAACAGCAACAACAACAAAAAAAACAGCCCGTTGCTTACAAAAACCAAGCATGAACTCCTACACAGAAATAAAGGAGGACAGAGTAGACAATGACCTGAGTGGCTTCCAAGGGCCTGCCCCAGTGTGGGAAGACCGAGCTGGATTCTTCCTGCAGGCCCAGCACCCTTCATATGTTCTTTCTGGAGGCTATGGGACATGGCCATATTTTTTTTTTAATGTGCTAGAACCCCAAACTTTGGGGCAGGGCCTAGAGTCATGGAGCGGAATATGCCTGTCATTATTAGCTTCCCAAATCAATTCAACAAATAATTATTATGAGAACCTACCACCACCACCCGCGGGTCCTGGAGGAACTCTGTGAAATCCTAGGGGCCCAGCTTGAAAAATGCTGGTTTGGGACCCGTGAAATGGTTTCAATCATTCAACCCGGCAGGGGGCCACGCCACGTTTTCAGCTGTCTTTGGTGAGCGGGGCCGGGGGCCTCCCGCTCCCTGGCACCCACCCTCCACCTGCGTACCAGGGCCTGGCTGACGTTGCCTCCCGTGGCCAGGGACTTGAAATGGCTGCTGTTGTAGACCAGCTGCACCTCGGACATTTCCACCGTCTCGAGCTCCTCCTGCGTCAGCCGATCAATCACGTGCAGCTTCTCCACGCTGTCCAGGAGCACGATCGTGCGAGAATTGATCCACTGCAACCCAAGCACCCGGCCGAAGGGGCGGTCAGCAAGGGAACAGGCCGGGGATGCTCCCCCGCCATGATGACCCCCCCCAGGCTGAGGCTTGGCGTAGCAATGGTCACACTGTGAGCACAGGAAAGTAACACAAGCTAAAGCTCTCTCCTTTCTGAGTTTGTGGGCAAGCAGTGGGGGCCAGGACAGGACTTAGGTCTGAGACACTGCTAAGAAAACACCCTCAGGCAGGTATGAGAATAACGATGATGACGCTGATGATCATAATTTGTTGTTCAGTCATTTATAGTCGTGTCCAACTCTCCATGACCCCATTCTGGAGGTTTCTTGGCAAAGATACTGGAGCCATTTGCCATTTCCTTCACCAGCCCATTTTACAGATGAAGAAACTGAGGCAGACAGGGTTAACTGACTTGCCCAGGGTCACTAGTAACTGTCTGAGGTCTCATTTGAACCCAGATCTTTCTGGCTCCAGGTTCTACCCACTGCACCACCCAGCTGCCCTCATAACAATAACAGCTAACATTTATATAGCCTCCACCATGGGCCAGTGCTAGGTAGGCACTGTGCTTTACATGAGTTCTCATTTGTTCCTCAAACCCTGGAGAGGTAAGTGCTAGTATCACCTCCATTTTATAGATGAGGAAACTGAGGCAGATCAAGGTTAAATGAGTCCTCGTTTCTCAGCTGGCTGCTCTACCTGGGGACGTCCCTGACTGACTTCTCGCCATGCCTCAGGAAACTCACCGTTGGGAAAACGTGGTCCCGCAATACCAGGCAGACCACCAGCCTTGGTGCCCTACTTCCTCACCACCTGTGTCTCTCCGACTGGAGGGTTACAGAAAGATCAAAACTAACCCCACCTCTGACTGCTACTGTCTGAACCCACCTGGCTCAGGAAGACAGTGGTGTTCCCTCTGTGCAGCCGGGAGGGAACGTGGCTCACATTAGCCCTGGGGCCACTGGCTTATAGTCTGTGAGCCCCAACCAGCTTACCCTAATGCCATCCCTGCCAAGACATGTCGTCTGTTCCTGCCTGTCCTTGTACAGTTAGGGGAGGCCCAATGTCCCCCATGGGGGAAGACGGCAAGCCTGGGGGGTTCTGGTCTTCCAGCCAAGATCATAAGAGGCAAACAACTCTGAGGTACCACATCACACCTATCAAATTGGCCAATGTGACAAAACAGGAAAATGGTAAATGTTGGAGAAGATGTGGGAAAACTGGAACACAAATGCATTGTTGGCAGAGTTGTGAAATGATCCAACCATTTTGGAGAGCAATTTGGAAATATGCCCAAAGGGCTATAAAAATGTGCATACCCTTTGACCCAGCAATAGCACTTCTAGGGCTGTATCCCAAAGAGATCATACAAATGGGAAAAGGACCCACATGTGTAAAAATATTCTTAGCAGCCCTTTTTGTGGTGGCAAAGAACTGGAAATTGAGGGAATGCCCATCAATTGGGGAAGGGCTGAGCAAGTTGTGGTATGTGAATGTAATGAAACAGTACTGTGCTATAAGAAATGATGAACAGGCTGACTTCAGAAAAACCTGGAAAGACTTGTATGGTCTTATGCTGAGTGAAGTGAGCAGAACCAGGAGAACGTTATACACAATAACAGCCACGTTGTGCGATGACTAATATTGATAAACTTAACCCAGGGCAGCTAGGCGGCGCAGTGGATAGAGCACCAGCCCTGAAGTCAGGAGGACCTGAGTTCAAATCCGGCCTCAGACCAAACACTTGACACTTACTAGCTGTGTGACCCTGGGCAAGTCACTTAACCCCAACTGCCTAAAAAAAAAAAAAGATAAACTTAACCCTTCCCAGCAATACAAGGATCTAAGACATCTCCAGAGGCCTCGTGATGGAAAATGCTGTCCACATTCAAAGAAAGAACTGTGGAAGTTGAATCGCTCTCATTTTTTTTCTCTTCTGTTGAGTTTTGTTTCCTCTTTCTGATGGTTCCTCCTATTGGTTTTAATTTTTACTTACAACTTCACTAATGTGAAAATATGTTTAATAGGAACGTAAATGTATAGCCTGTATCAGACTGTGCTCCATCTTGGGGAGGGTGGTGGGGAGGAAGATTTTAAACTCAAAAGCATATGGAAGTGGTCGCTGATAAATCAAAATAAATTAATAAAACAAACAAACAAATAAATAAATAAGATCACAAGAGGCAGATGAATGAGCCTCATAAAACAATTAACACTCCTTGATTGTCAGAGAGGGCCATGATTAGCCACACCTGAATGCCAACCCACTCTTCCCAGGACAGCCAACTGCAAGGTTCCAAAACTACCCAGTTACCCCCTCCTTTCCTGAGTGTCAATAAAGAGGTTCCCCCCCTTGTCACTGGGTGGCTGGCCTTACTGTGGTGGCCTGTCTGACCCTCTTTGTTAACAGTTATAAGTGTCACTGTTAATAAACTGGTTTTGCTCTGAGTATGTACCTCAGTTTACCTTTACTGCATTTACCTACCACGGTGGGGCGATGAGCTCCAAACCTCCACTTAAGGAGAGCGCTCAGTTCAGACATTTCATTTCCCACGTGGCTGCACTACCTTGGCACTTCTCTGACTGACTTTTCCACCCCTTTGTGGGTACCTTTTCCCCCCACCCCCACCCCACCCTTTGACTGGTTTCCTTTTGTGTTTTGTCTTTCCCTGTTAGAGTGTAAGCTGCCTGAGGGCAAGGACCATCTTTCTCTCTTCCTTTGTGTATGCCCAGGCAGCTAGTACAGGGCCTGGCACACAGCAGGCACTTAATCCATGTTTAATGACTGGCTAAATGACTTGCCCAGGGTCACACTTGGAATCCCTGAGTCCAGGCCACAGAAGTACCGAGGCACGGGTTCACTCAGCAGACGGGGGCTGCCATCCCATCCCCATGACCAATAGCAGCCCTCAGGCCAACTTCAGGAGAAAAAAGAGGCCTGGGCAGGGAACAGAACAAGGACCAGGAGCAGGTTCCACTTAAACTCTTGCCCCCAATCTGCCTTTCCTCTTGTCAGCAGGACACAAAACTTACTGGACCAGGTTCTGGTTACTGTGAACCCCGTAGAGCAGGCTGCTGGGGGGGGGAGCCTCTATGGGAAGTGGGCCCCAGGGCCCCTTGCATTACCGCCCAGTGACCTCGGGCCCAGGCAGCCTTTCAAAGCCCTACTGACATGCGCCCCCCCCCAGTACTTACAGTGAAGTTGATGAGGTCATAGTACAGGTGCAGATGCTTTTGTTTAGTGACGTGTATGGCACCTGATTCATCTCTTTTAACCTGAGGACAAATCAAACAAACCACAGGCTCAGACTAAGAACATTAACAGCCTTAATTACAACTGAGTATATAAATGGTTCAAACTGAACCAGATTTATAACAGGGAAAAACAGAACCGGCTTAACCTGGGGCCCCCCAAACGTCCAAGTGCAGCACGGCTTGTGAGCACTTTCCAGCCTCTTTTGGGTCTCCCTGAGCCCAGGTCCCTGCTCTCTCAGTCATTTAACAAGCATTCATTAAGCGCCTACTGCGTGTCAAGCACAGTCCTGGGTCCTAGGGACAGAAGTACAAAGAACAAAACAAGCCCTGTCTGCAAGGAGATTACGGTCTAATGAGGGAGACAAGAAGCGTGCACGCAGACTTATAAAGGGAATAAATGCAGGCATACATGAAGCGCTTTAAAAGGCAGTTTGGGAGGGAAGGTGGTTGGGGGGTCAGGAAGGCCTCATTTCCTGAAGAAGATGGTCCTTGAGCTACGTCATAAATGAAAAGAGGGACTTTTTGAGGCCAAGACAGGAGCAAATGCATTCCAGGCTTGTGGGACGGATAGCAAAGGTCCTGGTTCCAGAGACGGCGAGAACACCATGGGAGGAACAGAAAAGGAGGCCAGATGGATAAAAAAATAAGAATCTGAGATTTCAAACTGCCAGGACCTGTCGAGGCCATCTGGCTTAGAGAGGAGGCCAGGAAGGCCCGGAGGGGTCACGCCACCTCCGTCTAAGCTTATTCAGGAAATAAGCATCAGAGAGAGCATCTGGACCCAGGTCATCTCCTTCTAAGGCTAGTTCTCTTCCCACCGAACCTACCAGGTAGCCTTCTTCAAAATATTAGCTGACTCCTGATAACCAAAAAAGCTTTTCACCATCAGCAGGCTAGATTCATACTGGGAACACAAGGCTAGTTTGACATTAGAAAAACTATAAATCTGATTAATCATATTAAAAACAAAGTAATAAAATACTTCACATAGGAAGATTGAGAAAAATCCTTTAAAACAAAATACAGCACTTGTTAAAAGATGCCGCTAAAAGCACAGAAATAAAAGGACCTTTCCTTAGCATGATTAGAATATTTACCTAAACCCAAGAGTCGATGTTACTTACAACAGAAAAACACTGGAAGCTTCCCCAGTAATGTCAGGGGAAAGCAAGGATGCCCACGACCCCCATTTGGGCTTGAAAAGCTCCAAAGAGAGATAGACCCATGGAAAGATGGCACATTGATTAACTCATTGCTGGTGGAACTGTGAATTGGCCTAATGGCTCCAGAAAACAATACGGAATCATGCAAGAAAAGTTATTAAGTTGTTTGCACTCATCAATTAACAAGCAATTTTTAATAGCATTTATTATGTGACAGGTACGCTAAGTGCTGCAGATACAAAGACAAAATTAAGATAGTCCCTGTCCTCAAGGAGCTTACATTTGAATGAGAGGCAATACAAATATACATGCGTGTGTGTCACTAGCAGTTTGGGACAGCGGGGGAGGGAGAGGATCAGAAAAGGCATCACATAGAAGGTCTTGCTGGAACAGTCTTACAGGAAACTTGGGATTTCAAAAGACGGAGATGAAGAGTGAGTGAATTCCAGGCATCGAGGACAGTCTGGACAAAGGCAGAGAGATAAGAGGTGTTTATACTCTTTGACCCAAAGACTCCTTTGTACCGAGACTATACCCCAAGGGAGTGATGACAAGAAAAAAACAAACTCATGTGTACAAAAAGGCTCAAAGCAGCACACTGGGGCAAAGGAAAGAATGTACCTGATGACTGGAAAATGGCTGAATAAATTACGCTGTATGAATATGATGAAATATTATTGTGACATAAGAAAAATAAATATGAAGAATTAAAAGAAACATGGAAAGATCTGTATGAAGTGATACATCGTGAAGAAAACGATGCCAAAAGAACAACATATACAACAAACACCATAATGTAAATAAATTAAGCACAGAGAAACAAGAAAACCCTGGCCAAATACAAGGTCACATTTCTACTATGCTGTCCAAGCTGTTACAGAGAATATTCCTCCCTCCTGTTAGCAAATGATAAACTCCCTATTTTCAGGGGATAAATACTTCACAGGAGGAAGAAAGGTGTTGGGAAGTGTCTGCCATTTTGAAACAAAATTTATTAATATTTAACTTTAAAAAACCCCACTTTTTTGCTATTGAAAATATTTTAGAAAGCCTGCCAAAATTGGCCTTTCCACAGTCCAACAGGAATACCGCTCTGATTTAAGTTAAGAAATGGATGGAAGTTTTTGCAGAAATGCTCAGCACATGGGTCAGCCAAGCAGTGGTCGGGGCTGGTCTGGGGTGCAGCTAGATCCGTTTTCACTCGCACAAAATCCAGATGAACTCAGTTTCACATCAGTTTTCTGATGTGCGATAGGCCTGGGCCTCGGGATGCCTGCTCTTTGCCAGCGCACGGCCCTCCCAGCACATTTTGTGGGTGGCTCATGTTTCTTCTGCCCTCCACACCTTGCCACGACTCTCTTTCCCATTTATGTCTCACCTCTCCTGTTCCCAGTGACCTCCCCTCGTTCTGCCCTCCTGGTCCCCAGCCATGCTCTAGCATCCTTCTATGCCCTCTCTTCCTCATCCTGCTGGTCACAGCCTACATACTGGATCGACGACCACAAACTGATGTGTTTTTTAATTAAGCCCTATCTTCCTGAGATAAACCTCAGGACTTCTGGTCCTTTGCTCAGTGTTCCACATCACAAGAAACTAAGGCAACCTCATCCTCCTGGGCCACAGCCCCTAAGGCCTCACATCTCTATCAGATCCCCCACAAGAATAGGCAGGTAAAGTACAGGTCGCCCTACCTGTGCCAAAAAGGGAATAGTTCTTACTGTCTGCGCGTTGGGAGAGGGGGCAGAAGGGGTGGAACGCTTTCTCCTCTAGGCTGGCTGCTCACTTCACATTACTGAGGGTGCTTACTCATCCGTCTGTGAGGACATGTGTGTGCCACATGTACATACACATGCACAAAACATAACTGTGCTTATATAAACACCTATACATGCATGTGTATACAACAACATCTGTTCTTCAGTAGACAAAGGGACAGAAGGCTGAAAAAAACGCCATCTCACTCACTGGCATGGAGATGAAAGAGGAGACAGCTTGCCTCCCCAACCGTTAGAAACTGCCAACACTCAGCTGTTCCGACGGCTGTGTGCTCACTGCGGCACTGCAGCCACGTCCCCTCTGCATCTGCCCATCCTGGCTGCTCTCGCCCTTGCCCTCCCCCGTGTTCACCACTGTGCATGGCAGCTGGGCCTCAGTTATCCTTCACTCTTGCATTTGGCCAGCTCATCTTCCTTCTTTTCCACTCACATATCTCTGCCCTGCTTCAGGATGCTTCTGTGTAACTCCTCTCCTTGACGTGTGGCCGCCTGCGAACGCCAACCACGCACCTCACCGCTGCCCTCTGGGGCAGCCTCAGCTGGTGTCTTACAGACATATGGAAAACCAACAGTAGAAATGAGATGAGCCTTCATGTCAGAGAGGAGCTGGGGGCCACCAAAAGAACCCTGCATTTCTCCAAGGCAGTCCAGACAAATTCCCCCCTTGTATTCAACTGTAGGCCCAATTCACTTATCATTTTTAGTGCTTGTCCAAGATGTGGCTATGGATGGACGACCTCCACTGGTGGCTTGTCCAACTTGGTCTACACAACGGGCATCCTTTGTCCACTGGGCTCTTCTTGGGTGGCCAGTTCAGTCATGCTCTTTAGAGTAATGATGAATCTCACCCAGGAGCTTCAACAATGTTATGGGGTTTGATGCAACCAACTCGGTGTCACCCACAAATGGAGGGTGTCTGGAGGAATCCCTCCGTGACCCAAACTCTGAGTGGGATCCCCTCCGTGGCAGATGAAGGAACACCTCTGGTGTTTACTTTGGCAAGCACGTGTGTCCCTGTTTTATGCCTCTCTTGATAGTAATGACCAGAGTTGAAAAAGGTTTTGTCTGTTACACGGTGGGAGACCCTGTGTTAGGGACAGCCTTTAGACAGCATTTTGTTCTACTAAATCAAATACCTTTCTGAAGTCAACAGTAGTGGGGTCTTCCATTCTCTACATCCTTCCATCAATTGTGTGATGCACAGATATGGCCTTCTAAGCCAAGGAACTGAAGGCCTTCCCATTCCCTTCTAAGAGCCCATCAAAGAAGCCTGAGATCAATGTGAAGATCATTTTTATGAAAATTTTAAAGAGATGAAAAAGTCAGCTCATAGGTTATAGTTAAGCATGGGTCATCTTTCTCTGATGATAACACCACGCCTTTGATATTGTCCCCATCTTTAGATACCTCAATGCCCTTCAAATGGTGCCCCTCCATATATTTAATGTAACCCTTGCTGCTTTTTTCCATTTTTGGTTTCCTCAGTACCACGTCTGGGTCTGGAATGGCACAGTGCAAACGTCAGACCCCACAGAGCCCAGCCTAGGCACCACCCCAGGCTCCTGGAGGCTCAGCCAGGGATACACAAGCTCTATAGAGGCTTCCACGTGCACGGGCTTTGAGAAAGGTCCTGACAGAGAACCGGCTTTCCAAAGATCAGCCTCACCAAGTACAGCCAGGCTTACCACTAGGAGGCACACCCCTAGGTGATGAGTTCTTTGGTCTACACCACTCATGACCCAAAGCAAACTACAAAATGGCCTTCAGTCTTGTGCAGAAACGGTGTCAGGGCAGTGGAAAAGGGAGCAAAGTGTGCCCAGAATCACGGTTTTCAGACCCCCTATAAATGTGAACTTAGTTACTGGTGAGCTCTTTGACTAATGACCTATGGAGGAACACCGTGGCCATAAACAAGATGAGGTGAGAGAAGGAAGCTGCACCTAAGTGGAAGGATGACTTCCCCCGGAGAGGCAATGGAAGTGGGGGCAGAAAGGCTTTTGTTGGTGCCCATGGGCAAAAAGAAACATCACGTCAGGAGCCATCTGGTCTTCTTATCTTTTGGTGCCCATGATGAGTATGCTCAAAAGACCACCAAGAAAACTACTGCAGCTCATGTGCCAACATCAGCTGCAGAGGATGAAAAGGGAGTGAGAGTTCTATAAAGAACAAAGTTAAGATCTTCCTACTTAAATCAAATACATGGTGGCATCTGGTGACTTCAATGCAAACGCAAGGATGGTTAAAAACCCGGCTGGATCAGAAGTGAGGAGAGAGAGGCCAAAGACGGGCGCAGCCCTCCCAGGAGCCTCACGCCTGAACAGCATGAATGCTTCCTTGGAGAAAACAGCCACCCAACAGTTATCAAGCACCCCCATGTGCCAGGCACTGAGCTAAGCACTGGAGACACAAGTAAGCAAAAGACAGAAAATAGTCCGAAAGTGCCAGATGTGGCAAACACTGACTAACACCACATGAAATTGACTTTATTTTTAAGAGACGGGTGGGAAATGACTCACTAGTGACGTGGGGAGTAGTCTGGACACCTCTGTGCACACTCAGATCACTGACTGCCTGGACAGAGAAAAGGGTAAGGCCAGGCAAAGGATCTGTGATTGTACTGGTATGGGAACTTCAGGTGAGGAAGCTTCCTTTGCCCATGCAGACAAGCATCTGCTCCATCCGGGGCACCAAGGGGCTAAACTCACACAGCCCACACATGTCTGGGGTAGGACTGAACCCAGATTACATGGGCTTCAAGACTGGCTCCCTACCCACTAAGCCACACTCTCCCCCTCTCATTTATTAGAACAAATTCATACAAAGCTAGAAGAATAAGAGGGAGAAAAGGAGATGGCTGGCAATGAAAACCATCACCACACAGCCCATTAAAACACGTTACTGATGTGGGATAATGGGAGATGGTTGGAGGGAGGGAAGGACATTAACTCTAATAGCTTCACACGGAGTTTAATGGCTGTAAATCAAGTGCCAGAATGCAGAAGAGCCCAAACGCCACCCTGGTTGGCCAAGCAGAGTGCTTTGGGCAGCCGATGGCAATTCTGGTCTAAAACACCAGTGCGTCTGTCCGAGCTTCCAAAGAAGAGTGGAGGGGGCTGCCGGCAGCTCCGCCCATCAAGCGACAAGAGGCAGAAGGGGGGACATCAAATGAAAGAAGTCCTGGAGAGAGACCCGACTGAGACAAGCCACCCATGGATGAAAGAGTGGGAGGCCACAGGAAAAGGGAAGGCGCAGAAGGCCTAAAAAGACGCTTACGCCAACTTTTCACCATCAAGGAACACAGTTTCAGAGTGACAGCTGGGAATCACTCTGGAGGCCCTCTGGGCCAATCCCCTCATTTTACAGAAACGAAGGCCCAAAGCGGGGAAGTGACAAAGACAGGCCCTGAGCCCACGTCCCAAACGCCAGGGCCGCTACGCTGCTTGTAGACAACGGAGCCGCCCCATTAAACACGACAACACCGTGCACAGCTAAATAATAAGTTACAGAAACCAGACACCACCACAACAATGCGTGTTTTGTGGATGCACTATTTAAAAACAGGTGAGTTAGGAAGTAGATGTCAGGGTACTTGGTCTCTCCAGGACAGCAGACCCGCTCCCCTACCGGGGCTTACCAACAGAAAGTGAACGACGTCTCCTCTGCAAAAGGCCAATGTGGGGTTCACGTAATTATTGGCTGCCACAAAATGCCAGGCCAGCAGCGGGACACTGGAGGGATCCATCTAAGCCAAAAGGAAACAAAAATCAATCCTACGAATGGACAGAGAGCACAAGATGTCACCACACAGGAGGCAGGCCTGAGATCACCACTAGAAGGATGGAAATGACCATGAGGGCTGACTCCAAGACCATCGATCAAGAGGCCAGCCCGCGAGCTCCTCACATGACAGACCTAGGGAGGGGAAGGGCTTGCTGACGCTGCATCAGTCTCCATGGCGACGAGCTACCATCCCATTTAGGAAATACTCTGCCACTTCCAATAGATGGCTGGATGGATGGACATAATATGTACGTACCTGCTACATATGCATCTACACATATATAATATGCACAGACACACATAAAGCACACATATGTGCACACCCATATAAATGTATACCTAAACACATATATTCATATATACATGTAGAGTACACAGAGATGCATGTGTGTATAACCTCATTTCATTTTAACACAACCCTGGGAGGAAGGCGGGACAGGTGCCAGCATGACCCTTATTTTACAGGCAAAGAGTCTGAAGCTCATGGCCAGTGTGACCCCACCAGGGAGCGGTTGGGCTGGGCCTTGAACCCAAGGCTTCTGCCTGGAAATGCGGTGCTCTTTTTACTAAGCCAAAGCTTCCCTGTAAGGCGGAAAGGAAACACTTCCCTTCTTTCCCTCTGACTTGACCTTTCACCTCTCCACACTACAGACGCCATGTTCTGATGGCTACAGAAATGGCTTCAGCCTCTGATGCCAAGGCATCCCAAGGTCACCTCTCTTACAAGCTGCTCTCAGCTTCTCCAGGACGATGCTCAGACACAGCCATCTTGGTAGAAACGTTAATGTTCAAAGATCAGTTTAGGACACACGTGCCTCCTTGGCCTCTCTCTACTGAGGACTGGATGCGCCGTCCTTCACTGTTCTCAGAATGATGCGTACACGAAGGACTGAGAAGGGACAGGCCCTCATGAACTGTTCATGCGGGGCCGAGTGCGCCACTAAGCTCTATGGGTGCAAACACCAATGCAAAGACAGTTGGGCACCTTCAGAATTTTAGGTGAAAAGGAATCAAAGAGAGCATCTGCACTAACAAAAATAACAGTTATTTACGAACAGAGAAGCACAAACCCTTTGCCATCAGCAGGGGAAAAGCAAGCAGCACCACCCCCACATCGGAGCTTGAGAAGCAGGTGCAGGATAGGCTTGCCTCCGCCGTGTTCCAGAGCAGCCCACAAGACAGAACTGGGGCTCGGAGGCCAGGGCTTTGGCCTTCAGAGAGAACAGGGCTCCCTAAAGCCCCTGCTGTCATGCTCCAGAGCTTTTAGCAACACTCAAAGGACAAGTCACGTTCCCAACGTTCTCCACATTCCCTTCTCCTCCTGCCAACAAGAAAATGACTCCCTTACTCACCCGTCCATAGGGAAAAGTCATCCACACTTTCAGAGATGGTTTCAGTCCAATGACCAATATCTTTGAGAGAAAAGAAATGAAATAAACACATGATTTTTCTCAAGAGAAACTCTGTAATTATCTTCAGATCATGTTCTGACTCTGAACGCACATCTTCTCATTCCTAAGACCTACTTTAGTTAAGGATGCCATGGCCAGTAAGGAAAACTGAGTGATGGGATGATCCTTGAGCTCGGCCTTGGAATGAAGAGGCTCGATACAGCAAACTTCCCCCTTGGACCCACTGAACAGACACCGGGATTCACAGGTTCTCACTCCCATCACTCGCCTGAAAAGCATGAAGGAAGAATGCAGGAGGAATACACCAAAAGGTGGTTTGAGGTGTTCTTATTTCTTTATCAAAATCAACCATCACGTGCTTAGCACTGTGCCAGCTGCTATAAATGATACAAGAGACAGAAAGACAGCTCTTGGTCTCAAGAAGCTTAGTTTCTGATTGGAGACACAGGGCTTAGGCCAAGGACAAGCAGAGAGTACCGAAGGGCATGGAGTCAATGACACTGATCTCAATCAATCATCCAAGAAGCCTTGATTAAGTGCCTACTGTGTTCCACGCAAAGACACAAATGAACTGTCCCCAACCCTATTTGGAGGGATGGACGAGGCACCAGCTGCGAGGGGGCTCCGCGTGCCCACAGCAGGGGCAGCCTGAGGGCCGACTCCTGCCCGAGCGGCACCTCATTGGGCTTCCACCTCACTGCAGGGCTGGCTCTGTGAACCCACAGCCGTGTCTGCAGGAACTCGTGGCCCCGAAACGCTCAGACGGCGAGAAGTAAACGCCACTGTCCCGTTATCGGCCCAGCCCTGAACCCCACCACCAAAGTGAGCAGAGGGCAAGGACGACGAGAAGTGAAGCCAAGGGAAAAGAGTCGTCTTCCGACACCTTTTGTAACAGAGCAATGGTGCCCTGCCCCTCCTTCGGGCAGAGGCCTTCCCAACAAGGAGAAAATCTGGGGCGTGCGCTGCTTTGACCTGAGAAGGACGGCAGCCACAACAGGACACCTGGGTCCAGACCCTGCCTCCTCCACACGTAAGCTGCCTGACCAACAGCTGCCACCTGACCTCTCTGAGGCTCAGTTTCCTTATCTGTAAAATGCTTGAGGCTTAAATGAAAAATGGTTGGTAAAGAGATCTGAAAGCCTTGAGGCACGTCATGCAAACGCGAGCTCTTATAAGTGGGCCAAGTCAGAGTGCAGGCAGCCAGCTCAGCTCTCTGAGGCAGCAGGAGTCCCATCTTCCTCTGTTTTCCATGCGCCTCAAACTCTGCTCAATAGGGGAGGGCCACCATTCCCTTACCAGCTCTTGGCATTCTGAGAAGGCTTGCAAAATAGTAGAAAATATCTTCTCCAGGTAAAAGTCAATCTTTGAAATTCAAAGACTGATCAATAGAAAATGATAAAAAAAATATTGCTGCTGCTATAAGAATAGTAAGAGAAAACTACTATAATAAGCATAAAAGCACTGGTGCTTCCAGCTTAGTTCCTTTCCTGTCACTAAAAGTTCCTCTGCCCATACGGTACAGAGTGACAGGGGGTGTAGACACTAGATTTGGAGTCAGGGCCCTGGGTTCAAATCCCACCTCGGGCATGGAGTGCCTCTGCACAGCCATTCCTCCTCTCCGATGGAATGAGGGGCTGGCTCTAGACTGACGACCATAACCCTCTTAATCCAGAACCTGCCGAAGCCATTCTAAGCTGTGTTGTGCGTGTCTCCAGAAGACAGCTGGGGAGGGGTGGGACCCAACATTTCCTGCCCTCTCCCTAGCTGGGAATCTCTCCCTCATGCTTTCTCGTGTCTGGGTTTCATTCTGCCCATTTCACAGAGAGCTGCGAGGGACCAGGATGTTTCCGAGACAGCGAAAGCACGTCTACACTGGTCATGCTGAGGCTGGTGAAGGCACTTCATCCACTGAGAGGCTCCTTGGCCTGCTTCCATCCTGTGAGCTTTCCAGGCCTGCCTGCATCTTATCTCTGTTTTCTACCACATTAAGCCCTGGTTAATCTTCCCGTTTCATCTCATCATGCAGCCTCATGCTCTTACTTAAATGTCAGCTCAAACACAGAACCTCCGCTGTCATTGCAAATGGCAAGAGTCGGGTCATCTGTAAACTGAACAGAGAGGAGAACATTATTTTTCTGTCAGCTTCTCAATAGAATCATTCATGTATTACGATGGTGATAACAACCCCAGAAAGCTCTTGCTAAAACACGTTATCAGTCGGTGACTTCCACGTGGCTCTCAGCCCGTCCTTCTTACTCTGAAAGCCCCACCACGTGTGGAGGAGGGCCTGAGGACTCTGGAGTATCTCATTCTGGAGAAAACCATAAGCCCAGAAGCCTCCAAAAAAGTGTTTGGCAGGGCCGGCTCGGGCAGGGAGCAAAGCACCAACTAGGCTTCGTTTTCATTTTGAAAAGTATCCAGTTTCTTTTTTCTAAAAGTTATTCTCAAAATATCATGTCAAGTACGTGGGGATAGCTACAGATATGCCAAGCCCTTTATCCAGACTCAGGCCATCTGAATAAAGAATTCCCAGAATCACAGAGTTGGGGGGACCCCTACAGTCACCTCATCTAACCTATACCTTTCTTATAAATGCTTTGGAGTTTTTTATGGAATTCTTTCTAAAATGCACACTTTATTTCCCAGCTTTCTAATGCATTACAATAACTGAGGATTCATTAAAGTGAATACTGATGACAGTCCCATGCCACTGGTAAAGATGTGGCCAGTGGGGGCCTCTCCACCTCCTCAGACTGCTGCACAACTGGTCATAGGGCCTTCTGTGCAGCCCAATGGGGTTCACTGGGGCCACCAGAGTTCACGTCCTTATTCCCCCTATTCAGCCTCAACACCCACAGAAGTGGGAGCCCCAGGGCCCCAGAGGGACCTTTAGGGTCATCTAATCCAATCCACTACCCCACGTACAGATCGTGCCCCAAGAAGCATGCCCCTTTCAAGCCTGCTGAGGGGCAGGGGGCTGCTTCATAGACACAGAGAGCCCCTGCCTGTGCCTCCAAAGACTCTGCCATGGGGGCAGAGGGCTATCCATTTCCCTAGGCCGGGTGCCAGGCCTCCCACCCTGAATAAAGGGTCCTGTCTTCCTGCCCCATCAGTGGCTGGGGCTCACTGGCCCAGACTCCATGTCAAGTCTCTGACTCTCCTCCCTTCTCTAGGCTCCTCTTGCCTGTCCTGTCTCCTCTCATTTCCCCCAAGCTTTCTGGTTTTCAGGTATTAAGACTGACCTTGGATAGCTATGGCCAGTCGGCCTGTCGGGGAGCTACTCTGTGGGGCAGGGCCAACAGAGCGGGCGTACTGGCCAATCATGGCACAATCACTGGGGCCTTTGGGGAGGGGGCCATGTGGCTGCTTATTGGCTCACCTCAAAGCCTCGCCCCACTGGACAGAGCCCTCTAGTTTCTCTTAAAGTCTCCAAAGCCTATTTCGGGCCTGGTGATGCTGCCCTATGAAACCCAGCAGAGAGGGGCCCAACTCAACAGGAGAGATAGGAACAGAGACTGGACTCCTGGTCAGCCAGATCGAGGGAAGGCAGTTACGCCTAAGCCACCAATGCAAGACGTAGGAATGATGACAAGAAGGAGGAGACAAGGCCAGGCCCGTTACCTTAATGTGCAGAATTGCTGTGCCTGGGGGGTGAGCATCTGTTATGGATCTCAAGAGCTTCCCGCTGGCCAAGTCCCACATGGTCATCTGTAAGGCAATTAACTGCTTTCAAAAACAAAGCTGCTTTTCATTTGGGTCTTGAATTACAGAGTGTTCTTTATAAATGAAACCATTTTTATTCTTGCATATTTCTATTTTTTCAATAAATCTTAGAATAAGAAAACAAATGATGATGTATTCCATATGGTTTCACAATACAGGACACCATGCTTAGTGTATTACCATGGAAAGATACTGCAATTCAAGGCAAGGAAGATGTGGGTCCAAATCCTGGCTCAGATACTAGCTGTGACCACAGGCGGGCCGTCAGTCCCTGCCTCTCGGAGCCTCCGGTGATTCAACTGAGAAAATGAGGCTAGCGAGGACAGTGCTACCAACCTCACCGAGTCACAGGGAAGAAAGTGCTTTGTAAACCATGAAGTACAAAGACAAGGTTTTTACCTTTTCTGGGGAGTCACAGACTTCTTTAGCAGCAAGCCCCTGAAGCCTATGGACCCCTCACCCCCACCCCCTTCTCAGAACTGTCTTCTTAAATGCATAAAACAAAATACAAAGGTTTGCAAGGAAAACCGAGAATACTGAAATAGAGTTATTAAAATGTCAAAAAAAGAAAACAAATTCAGGGACCCTAGGAGCTCAGAGGAAGAGGAGACACAATATTACCTAATCAATACTTTGCCAGAGTGTAAATACTTTGTAGAGGTGCCTCGTGGCACAGGACAGAGAGCACTGGTCCTAAAGTCAGGAAGACTTGGCCTCAGACACTTATTAGCTGATGGCCTCTGTCTGCCTTAGTTTCCCCATCTATGAAATGGAGATAATAATGGCACCTGTCTGCCAGGGTTGTGGTAAGAATCGAATGAGATAATGTTTGTAAAGTGATTTGTAAGCCTTAAAGAACTCTACAAGCAGTGGCGGTAGTGGTAGTAATAGTTGTGGTGGAAGTATCCAACTTCTCCCTTTGGTTTATAAATGTACTAACAAAAGAATTCAATGGAAAACATGAGTAAAAACTGCTGACGGTGAAGGCCCGCTGAGGAAGACCGCTGAATTCCCAGAACAGGCAGAGGATGCCAAATCATGGGGCTTCCAGCTCACTCTTGACCCCAGTGCCAAGTGTGCCCAGAAACCCCTTCGAGGGATTATTTATCTTATTTAAAGAGGCCCCTAGGCTAGTATAAATTGTAAAAAGTCTGTGTTCCTGTAGCAGGCTCTGTACAAACAAGAAGTCAGGAGACAGCCGTGAGCATGTGAGTATTCAGGCACCAGGGAGCAATTCCAGAAGCAGGCAAGGCAGGCAGGTAGGCAGGCAGAAAGACAGACAGAGAGAAATAAAGGCAGACAGGCAGAAAGAAAGACAGAAAGAAAGGCAGACAAACAAGCAGGCAGACAGGCAGGCAGACAGAGAGAAATAAAGACAGACAGGCAGAAAGAAAGGCAGACAAACAAGCAGGCAGACAGACAGAAAGGCTGACAGAAAGACAGACAGGCAGACAGATAGAAATAAAGACAGACAGGCAGACAGGCCGATTGTAGGTAGGTAGGAAGACAGGAAGAGACAGACAGACAGACAGAAAAGCAGAAAGAAAGGCAGACAGGCAGGCAGGCAGACAGACAGATAGAAAGGCTTATAAAAAGACATACAGAAAGGCTGATAGACATGCAGACAGATAGAAAGACAGGCAGACAGACAGAAAGGCTGATAGAAAGACATACAGACAGGCAGACAGACAGAAAGGCAGACAAGCAGACAGGCACACAGACTGGCAGATAGACAGACATATGCATGCAGAACACAGCAGCTCAGTGGCATGGATGGAGAAAAGGCCTTGGAGGGAACGCCCTGGCTGATGCGTCCAGGCTAGGAAGGGGTCTGTGCTGACCAGGGCACTGAGGGTTTAGGTTTCCCTCAGGTAATTGCTGGCTTCCTCCAGCAGCAATCCCTCCAACATCCAGCACTAGCCTCCCCCACACAGCCTGTGTGTGATTGGATACAACTCAATCCCATTAAGTAGCTTCTTGCTGGGCTCTGTGTGAGACACCAAAAACATACAACAAAAATAAAACAGCCCCTGTCCTCAAGTGCCTCCGTTCTAGTTGTGGAACATAATCTGGGCCCAGAAAAATGAACACAAAATAAACAGAAAATGGGGGAAGGGCAGGAGGCACTGGGGGTGAAATCAGGAAAGAGAGGAGGTGGCTTCTGAGCAGGGAGAGGCCTGACGGTGGCCAGCCACTCCAAGAGGGGCAGGAGGGAAAACAGCCCACACAGGGGAGGCAGAGGCAGGAGGGGCCTGGTGCGTACAGAGGCCAGCAAGAGGGCCAGGAAGCCTGAAGCCTCGACTGTGTGAGGAGGCCATCGGTACCAAGTACAAGAACTTGTACTTTATGCCAGAGGTGAAGGGTCTACCACATGTTCCTTGGAGAAGCCACGCGCACAACTACCGCCCTGATGCGGCCGGGGGGGGGGACCCGGAGCCCCACGCCTGGGCAGAATGTCAGCAGACAAGAAGAAAATGAGTTCATAAGATCAGAGTTTGAACTACAAGGGGCCTGTGGAGTCTTTGTTGCACAGATGAGGAAACTGAGGCCCAGAGATGTGAACCACAGTGCTGCCCTATCAGGCCATGTTTGAACCCAGGTTTTCCTGAGGACATGGCCGTCGTGCGACGCTCTCACTGGCCCACCCGGGGGCAGTCACCACACCGCACAGACTGGCACAGACTGGCTGACCGCTTCCTTTGTCTGCCACGCCCGGCCCGTCTTACCTGGCCCTTGGCAAAGCCACAGAGAAGTCTCGAGCAGTCATGGTTGATGCTGAGAGCAGAGATGGCCCCGTACTGTCCCCCGACGCTGGTGCTGCCCAGGCAGAGGCGCAGGGCCTGGTTCTGATCTGGAGAGCACAAAAAGGAAGAAAGCATCGTCAGTCAGGGAGGAACAGGCACTGGCTGGGACCAGGGAGGGAGATCAGGGCGGGGGTTGGGGAGAATGCCTTTCCTTGTTGATCCAGAGCCCTCTGGGGGGCACCATCAGCACGCCCCTGCCCCCATTCCCTGCGCGCGTCCTGTCCCCTCCCACCCGCATCTGCTGCTCAGGCCAGAATGGAGACAGGGCAAGACGAGGCAAAGAGGAAAAAGGACCGAGATCAGGCCGCAGCGGGCCTCGGCCTTGCTTCTGCATGTGGCGAGCCTCCCTCAAACCCCAAGCCAGGCACGCTCCTCAGTGGAGGCCGGTGAACCAGCAGGGGGCCATCACTGATCGAGCATTCCCCTCAGGGAAGCCCGGGTCAATCCCAGCACTGGGGCTCCCTGGGTGAATGGTCTAGCTTTTGTCTTTTCTATCCTTATTTAATCTCTTACTCAGTTTGATAGTGCTGGGTTACCTCGGCACACAATCACCTCCCTTCACTTCAAAAGCCTCCGTAATTTGGACTTTGCTAGGCCAGAATTTGTTACTTTGGTCAAAGGTGAAGCTGATGTTTACCTTCCTATTGGGATAAATCATGCCTGTGAGGCAAATAAAGTGTTTAAGGCTGGGAGCTGCCCATCCCCTGGGGAAGATGGACAGGGACAAGGGGAATGCACCTTGGGAGCACCTGCTTATGTGCTAATAATGGATATTTCCCACGTTTCCTCATTTGGGCCTCACAGCCACTCTGGGCAGAAGACACAATTCCATTTCATAGAAGGAAAAAATGAGACCTAGAGAGGTATAGCCACTTGCCTATGGAAAACCCAAAAAACATCGAAGGCAGGACTTGAACCCAGGTCTTCCCGATTTCAGCACCCTGTCCATTATTATTACCAATAACAACAACTAGCATTTATATGACACCTTCAGGTTTGCAAAGCACCTGAAACAGATGTTGTTATCCCCATTTTACAGATAAGGAAGAAACTGTAGCAGACAGAGGTTAAGTGACTTGCTCAGGGTCACACAATTAGTACATGTCTGAGGCTGAATTTGAACTCAGGACTTCTTAACTCCAGGCCCAGGTTCTATCTGCTTCGCCTCTGAGAACAGGACTGCTTTGCTCCTATTTAGAGGGTGTGGTGCAGAATGAGAGATCTCATCGAAGTCAGAAAGACCTGCCTTTGGCACACACTAACTGTGTGATCCTGGCTAAGTCACTTATGTTCTCAGTGACCCAGAAATTTTGTAAGTTGTCTGTTTAAATTACCAACCTGCATCCATGAAGAGAATTCCATTTCTTCAGTGTGGGGAATCATCATCTTTGTTCCCTCTCCCCCCAAACCTTGATGTGTTCATGTTAAATCATTCTGATTTGTTCATTAAAGCAAGTACACTTGGGCCTTCTGGCAGGTCACACCTTTATAGCCTAATTCCAATTATTTTATGTATTGAAGATTATAAAACTACATTTCTTTGCCAATAGGAACGTAATCCCAAAGTAACAGGACATTTTAAAAAATTCCTGATCGTTAGGAACTTGACAAAGGTCAGCAAACAGTGAGGCTCGCATCTGGGCCTGCCTCCTTCTGTACCCTGTCGTGGCTTCTAAGGATTCTTTGATATTCTTCCCTTTCTTTTTTCATTTACCTTTTTTGGGTATCAGTCTCACTATTTTCATTCAACTCCTCCCACAACTTTCTAACACAAGAGTACGATCCACCTTCTAACAAACACCCAAGAACACGGACGCTCCACTGGGCACTCTGCCCTTCAAAATCCTCACAGCAGAGAACTACACGCTCCCTCCAAAGATCCAGAAACTGTCCAGAATGTGTCTGGCTCGTGTCTTGTGGAACCCTCCCAGAGCTTCCAGCCCACACTGGTAAATAACCCAAGTGGGGACAAATCTTCACTCTTTGAGGATGGACTGGGTTTTCTGGAATGTCCACAAGCTATGAAGAACCAAACCCGCAAACAGGACTGGGCACAAGCTGAGCACAAACATTTCTGGTCAATAAGGAGGGTGCCCTACAGTAACAAGGCCCTACATCTCCCAAGGTGCCCCTTGGGCACAGTAGGAGGGAAGCTCTCCCCCACATCGGGCTTCTGCTCAGCCCACCTCTCCACACCTTCCCCCCATTTCTCCTAGTTCCCTTCTGGGGCTGAGCAGGACAAACCTGACCCCTCTCCCCCCATAACCCTTCGCCTACTCGATGTCAGCGATCACGTCCCACCTCACCCAAATCTCCCCGGGGCCTTGCTGTCCTTGCTACTGCAGCACCTTAGGGCCTCTGGCCTTTTGCCGGTCCTGCAGTTCACCACAGTCCTCCACAGGAGACCAGCAATCATCCAAAGTTTTCTATTTCTGTGTACGTGCTCCAGTGCTTGGCACACAGGAAGAGTTTAATGGATGCTTTTTTGTTCACAGATTCACAGACGAGGGTGCTGTCATCCTTTGATGAGGCTCTCTCTCCCCAACACATGTTTTTATTTGTACCCAGTCTTTCAAAGATCATTGGAGAGTTTTAGGCATTAGGCTGTCGGCTGTCATACTAAAATAGTCAGAAAACAGGGTGCTCTATACACCTCTAGCTTGGGCCATTTGGATTAGGCAGGAGCCTGGGCTGAAAAGAAACAGAAAGGGAGAAGAGGGCCATAAATGACACCTTGTGTGTAAGTGGCACTAGACCCCTGACTGAGGCCAGAGCTGCTACCCCCAATCAGAGGGGAGTGAACAAGGAATCACCAAGCTGTGCCAGAAGGCCTGTCATCCTGTACTTTAAGATCTCACCCAACGATGAGCTTCAGATCTGTTCCATACTTAACAGTTTCTCCATGCTTTCACAACACGCAGACTTCAAATGCTGAGTAAGGAAAGTTAGGATGTGCTGAGTAAGCACTGTCAGAATTAAAAAAGCCATGATCACAATTGGAGCTTTCTGAAATAAACTAGGCTAAGAACAATTCTAAGATCTACTGATGCTGCAAAAGAAACTTTATAAAAGCCCTCCCTCTTTGTAGTGGGGTTGTTTCAGTCAAGTTCGACTCTCTGTGATCCCATTTAGGGTTTTCTTGGCAAAGATACTGGAGTGGTTTGCCATTTCCTTCTCCAGCTCACTTGACAGATGAGGAAACTGAGGCAAACAGGGTTAAGTGACTTGCCCAGGGTCCCACAGTTAGTGTCTGAGGCCAGATCTGAACTTATGAAGATGAGTCTTCCTGACTCCAAGCCCAGTGCACTACCCACTTTACCACCCAGCTGCCCTCCTTCCTCCTCACCTTCCCTGCAAATTTCACTTTCCGCCTTTCTTCTTGTCTAAAGGAAGCAGATGGAGGCTGCCAGCTATGTGGCGACAAAGACAGCATTAGCAAATTTTAGCCAGTTTTATATGTTCTACTATAACTTGTCAATTCAAGTGTTCTGATAATTCAACAAAGTAGCGGGACATGAGGGATGAAAGGAAGGATGGAAAGTGAGAGAAGTGAAAGGGAAGACTGCAATTTGAAAGGAGTCTGAGAATGGAAAGGAGACATTCCAGAGGGGAGGGAAGAAAGGAGGGGCTGGCTACAGTCCATGTTGGAGAACCTGAAGACCACCAGGCTTCCTCACCACCTTCCCCAAGGCTCTGTGGTTCCCAGAAGCTGGAGGCCAGGCAGCAAAGTCTGCTGCAGCTCAGTCTTGGCTGTGGGGGCAGAACAGGCCATGATCCACGCCTGGCATAGCACACTGTAAGTGTCGGGGCCTGGCTCTGTCACCTTCTACCCTGAGACTTTGAGGAAGTACCTTCCCCTCTCTGGGCCTCTGCAAAGTGAGAGCCGTGACCTAGACAGCCTCTGAAGGCCTCTTCCTGCTCCAAATCTGAGACGATTGCTAGGCTACGAGCTTCGGACCTCCAGAGCTGGATCACAAGTCGATGCCATATCGCTAGATGATACCAGTTAGCTATGAGCGCGACTCCCAGGGAGACTTAAACAGAGGGTCGAGGAGAGAACCTAAAGGGTGTCTGACTAATGCCCCGGATGCTAGCCAGCCCAACCGGCCAAGGGACAGCAGATCTACTTCTACGGGATTTCATCCTGACTCAGGGAAGAGGTTAAGATGGACCCTGGGGGCGGGCATGAGGGCTCCCATGATATAAAAGTCCCAAGACAAAACAGTGGAACAGAAGCCCCACCGATGCCTGCGGGCATGAGGGCTCCCATGATATAAAAGTCCCAAGACGAAACAATGGAACAGAAGCCCCACCGATGCCTGCTTGGGGTGTAACCCGGGCACCCTGAAGCTCCCTAAGCCCTCCCGGTTAACTAAGACAAAGGAAGCACCAGGCGTCGATCAGCCACTGAGGAGGAGGTAAAATCCAAACACTACCCCTGTTGATAAAGACACAGGCCCCACAGCCATCACGAGAGGAAGCGGGAGGGCCTGTGCCGACATGATGCAGGGGCAGGCTCCCTCTGCACGTTCTAACCCTCAGGACTGTTGGGGCGCCCTCCTTTTCATCTCAGCACCACAAGAGGGAGCCTTCTCCCCTCCTCTGATAGAGAAGGACCACCATGTTAGGAGACATACCAAATGGCACATTCCGTCTGGCAGAGACAATTGAGCACAAAGAACATTTGATTAGGTGACTAAAGACCCAAGCCCTAGGTGCTGTCGCCAACTAGCTGTGGGGTCTTAGGCAAGTAAATTCATCTCTGGGGATGATATTTGTTGAATTTTCTTCCCAGGATCAAATATGTGAAAACACTTTGAAAAATACAAAGCATTGTAGAAAAATAAAGCGTAGGACTTCTGAATGTAATGTAAGGTGATATTATCAGTATGATATTACTGTTTTTATTCATTATAATACCAATAAGAGACAAGAGGGAATAGTGGTTAGAGGTGGCCTCAGAGCCAGGAAAATTTAGAGTCAAGGGGGCAGCTAGGTGCCACAATGGATATAGCACCAGCCTTGGAGTCAAGAGGACCTGAGTTCAAATCTCACCTCAGACACTTGACACATACTAGCTGTGTGACCCTGGGCAAGTCACTTAACCCCACCGCCTAGCAAAAAACAAACAAACAAAATGTAAAAATAAATAAAATAAAAGGGATAAACTACATACTAAAAATATTAAAAAAAAAAGATTTAGGGTCAAGTGCTGCCAAAGCCTGGGCTGTGTGACCCCAGGAAAGTCCTTCGCCTCTGAGTATTCTAGGTCAGTGGTGCCAAAGTCAAATAGAAACAGATCTCTGTGAGCCTCATTCTGACTTAGAAAACTACACATGAACACTGTCTATGTGATATGTTGTACTGTATTTTTAGTTATTTTGTTAGACATTTCTAATTACGTTTTCATCTGGCTGAGAATTCACTCGTGGGCCTCGGGTCTGACACCTCTGTTTCTTGGTAAACTCTAAATCTCAGTAAACGTCAAAGAGAAGGGCAGGCTGCCCTGCACTGGCCGAGGGACCCTCCTCACCCAGCAATAATTCCCTATACCAAGGAAATCACAGGGCCAGTCCCTATCACTAAAATACCCACAGTAATCACTGGGAGCCTATGTAACACTAACAATTCAAAATTCATCTAAACTAGATTCTATGAGATCTCACTCTATATAGAGAGATGTCTATCTCTGTAGAGAGAGAGAGAGCTATAGATATTATACATAGACACATGCACATATATATACATATATGTAATATACACACATATGTATACACACACATTATGATATATATTTCTAATTACATTTTCCTTAGGCTATTATTATTGGGAGCAAATGGAGCTAGCCAGTAGTTTTCTGAGTAACCCAAGAGGGAGCCACAGGTAAATGCCAACGTAGATAATGCAGTCACCCAACCTCAGGCTGAATAGATGAATTCTCTACTCCTGTGAACAACTCCAAATTCAATCATTTCTTGTCCCCACCCCATATATACAAGTTTCAAAAACTTTCAAAGGTAAAAACACCTCTCAAACACGAGAACATGTCACTGAGAGAATACTGTTCAATCTCTTGATTTCTTAAACTGCTGGCATCCAACTCTCTTTAGCGCAATGTTTAAAGAGAGGAAGAAAACAACCACCCGCATTTCTGCCTGAGCTTCTGTCTGCACTGAAGCCTCCTTCCTTGAGCACGGAGGGAAGAGGTAGAGAGGGCAGAATGGGGAAGTGCTTGTGCCCCACTTCTCTGGCTATGGACACTCCAAGCGGTCTGGCCAAACCCGTGCCAATCAGCTGAGGATGGCTCGCTACCTACACGGTTTGCGTGTTTACCAAAGGCAGCCTTCCATGGGGCCTCACCATGTGCAGTCTACTCTTCCCTAGCCCAGCCCAGCCCACCAGTGCCAGCTCTGCTGCCAGGCTACCTGGTGTGGGTCTCTGCTCCCTCAGAGCACTCTACCAGGCCAAAAGAAAGAGAGGAAGCCATGCAGGCCACATGCACAACGCACATTCACTGTACCTTTTCCTTTTTCGGTCCATGGGAAAAAGATGGAGAAAGAAAGAAAAGCAAGAAATCAATTTCAAAGCCCATCATAGTGGCTTGTCTGGTTACCTAGAGGCCAGGGAGGGAGGAGCCTCAGTGGTGGGGACAACATGACCAGAGCCCTACTGGCCAACTGGTGCTTCTAGCCTTCATACAGACTCTGGGGCATTTGGTTTGAGAAGTGAGAGAATGCATAAACATTCCTGCAGACATGGGAAGGGGCAGCACGTTCACATGAGAAACACAGAAATGAATTACAAGAGAAGGAAGCTCATGTGCTAAGAGAACCGACACCCAAAATAAACTATCCAGAGGTCAGTGCTGATGAGTCCCTACACCAAAGTAAACCCTGGATATGCTACAAATGTTGTCTACCCTAGAATTCCAGAAAAGGCAGCCTACATTCACATTTCAGAAATGGCTACTTATCTGTTGTTTTCTTATCTCCAGATAGTGAACTTTCTCTCTTTAAAATGATTACTATTAATGAAGTCATCTCTATTTTGAAGAGAAGCTAAATGATGCTTACATAATTAGAATTCAACATCTGTTGCTCTCTCCCATGACTATCAATGAAAAGGTTAAATGTAATCTCATGCAGGCCTCAAGAACCTTTAACGCTTCCCAGCAAATCAACAGACTAGAATTTCTTCGAGGGCCTTCAACTGGATTTTTAATTCATTTGACAAGACCTCATTATCCAAACATTAAAATTTTACAGTAACTGATGAGCTGGATTTATTAAATTTCACTTATAAATTACAGCCAGAATATATTAACACACTCTCCTAAAACATTCCAATTGGCAAAATGTATTTTTCTTGAGGGCACAGAATGGAAGGTGAACGCTAGTAATGTCATCATCTTTTGGTCTCGTGCATGCTATGGGAAACCTTCCTGGTGCTACAAGAAATCAAGCTGTGACTAAGAGACATACATATGATGGGCTCTACTTAGCTCCCATCAAGCAAGAGATTTTATGAGAATAACATGTGGGTATGACAGGCCTGAGGTCCACTGCCAAGTGACCAAAGAAGGCAGAAAGAGCACAAATGGGGCTATGAGAAACAGAGAACAGCCAAGATGACTGAAGATTAACTGCGTCTAAAGTGAGGTTTTCTGGCAGATGAAAATGTAGCAAGATGAGGCCGCGTGGTCAGTGAAAGGAGAGGGGCACTGGGTTGGACACATGGCTTCCTCGTGAGGCTGTGGGCAGGGAGCCTCTCGCCTCTGAGCCTCAGTTTCCTCATCTGTAAAATAGGGGCAATGATGCTGACACTGCCCAGTGGTGGCCTGGATAATAGCCCTCTGAAGGCAGGTGCACCATGCAGAAAGATGCCTCAACGATGCTGTTTTGTGAGACACCTTTCATAAACTCTCACTAAACCCTACTGGGAAGTCTTGGCACCCCAACGTAACCAATGGCTGACTAGTTATTGATTAACATTGTTCCTATGTTACCTACAGCCCCTCTGGATGTTATTGCCTCTAACCTCAGGTCTCTGCAGAACCAATTAGTGACATTAGGAAGAGGGATGCTATATGTAAATGTGAACTAATGTTATTAGGGTTAGTGCCATTTTTTTCTATTTACCTCCATCCCTTTCTCCTGCTCCTCCATTTTGGGGCTTCTGATCTCTGCCTCTTAGAATTCCTTCCAAGGCCTTTCTGCTTTCCATCCGCCATACTTTCATTATGAGAACAGCAAAGGCTAATAGTCTGTTTTATAAATGTGGGCTCCCACATCAACCGTCTAAGAGAATACTTCAAATCACTTTTACATGACTGTTTCTTCCAAAAGCAGCATTAAGGAAGGGAAGGCCAACTGTTAATGTGGACAATGGGAAACATGTGGCCTGGCATTCCTAGGACAAAAAGAGTGGAAGAGCAGCCTTGCTGGCCATTGGAGGAGGGTCACTCAAGAGTGTGGCAAAGTCAGCAGAGAGGAGCTACGTGACCGTTACATAATCCCCACTCAAACCCACACTGCATCCAGTATGAAGTTCCATTTAAGAGGGAATATGTGAGGCTTAAAGAGTCCCTCAGGGAACCCTGACAAGGGTGATCAGGAAACATGGCCCAGTGGTAGTCAGCCCATGCTGTGTGTTCAAAGCACAAGTGCACAAGACAGGACTGAAGGCTCCCCCCTCAGGCATCGAGGCAGAACACGACATTCTCCAGTGAGGGGCCATCACAGCAGACACAAAGAAACCTTCACAGCATTAAAGACGATAAAGTCTAGGGACGGAGGGGAGGCCAGCAACCTTCTTCCCTGGAAATCTTTAGGAACAAGACTACTCATGACTCGAAGCCCAGGTGGAAAAAGTCTTTTTTTTTTTTAAGGCAACTGGGGTTAAGTGACTTGCCCAAGGTCACACAGCTAGTAAATGTCTGAGGCCAGATTTGAACTCAGGCCTTCCTGACTCCAGGGCTGGTATTCTATCCATTGCGCCACCCAGCTGCCCCGGGAGAAGTCTTCCTGGAGGTAGGGGGACTGACTGGGTGAAAATGATCCTCAGTCACTGGTGTCCTCATCATTCACAGCAGCTCACATTATTGGAGAGGGGAGAGTTTGAGGAGGGCTTTACATTCATTACTTCAGTTATCCCCATATTACAGAAGAGGAAAATGAGGCTCCGAGAAGTTTCAGAACTTGCCAAGTCACAAAGCTACTTTGATGTTGGAGGCAGGACAAAGTCTAGTGGTCTGCCCACCAGGGCACCCTGCTTCTAACCCTTTAGCTCCCTTTCAGTCTTACCAGACTCTAGGCAAGAGGATCGTGGGGTTGGATCCAGAAGAGACCTTAGAGGTGCTTTAGTCCCGGCCCTTATTTTACAGCCGTGGAAACTGAGGCCCAGAAAGGTTAAACTATGTCCCCAGGTCACACAAGCCTAAGGAGCAGAGCCAGGATCTGCACCCAAGTCCTCAGACCCCCAAACCAGTGGCACATACTGGCACATATAACCCAAGAGACAGCGTGGAGGGAGGATGAGGCTGGGTCGGCTTGATGAGGGAGACGTGGGTTCCTCAGCCAGTTTTCCTAACTGTGCTCCAGGACATCCCACCTCAGATGTGGATGTGCCCTCTCCATCTTAAGGAAACACAAGGGTTAATGAGTTTACCGAAGATTAAGGCCAATCCATGAGAAGTTCCCACTGCAATCAGACGGGACACAGCCTGGGAACAAAAGGAAAAGAGGGCAACGTTCAGAGTGAAGAACCGACTGTGTCTGTCCCCTTCTCCTGCCCCTCTTCCCCCCATCTCCAACTCCTAACCACCCACCCCGCCCAGTGAAGGACCAACAGATGGCCAGAGTCACACGCGGCCCCTGCTTGATGGGAGGTAACACAAGATGTGGGTAACAAGCGGCTGTTCAGGCACGCTCCCTCTAAATGGCTACAAGAACCACCACGTCGAGGGGCCGGCCACAGGCACACAAATTCTTCCAGAGGTGCACAGGCGAATCTGGGGCTCGGGATCTGGCAGTGGCCTCGCCTGCAGCCCCATGACATACAAATTCAGCCTCATATGAGCAGAGAAAAGGAGGTAATGTCAAGCAGCCCCGTGTTCCCCAGGATATTACTGGGGCCAAGGGATGCCAGGATCACTCTCTCACCAAGTGACTGACTAATAAAAAAGTCACCTGGGCAAAGGGAAAGAAAGATGAGGCCAGAGGGGAAAGGGCATGCTCTCCCTAACCCTCTGCTCACTATCTAACAAAACCCTTAATTAATTATTTAGCAGGGACACTGATGGACACCAGCGCTATTCGGCCCTCAGTTTACTGCCCTGGGAAAGTAGGGCAGAAGCAGTGTCACCCCAGGAAACAACTTTACTTTTAGAGAAGAGCAGGAGAGTGGAGCAGAGTCAGCAAATCATTACTCCTCCTTTCAAATGAAAACTGAACTATGACAAGCGATAAACCTATTGATCACGGAAATCAGCAGGGAAATCGGTCTCAGAAATGTAGACATCACAAACATTAACACTTAGAACAACAAAGAAGAACAATTATTTTGCTCTGATTAAGAAAGAAAAAAATGTACACTTACTATTGCAGTGGGCAAACCAGCATCGACTTTGTCCTAAATGGGGGTGAAAAAGACAGATAAATATTACAGGCACGTGCCACCACACCCACCAAGAAAGGTGTTCTCTAATACACAGGATTCCAAAGGAAATCGATTTCATTGAAACGCAGTTATCAAGATATTTATTTAAATAAAAATGTAGGGCAGCACCAAGATGGCAGAGTATAGGCTGCAACTCAGCTGAACTCTCCCAACATTCCCCTCCAAACAACCATGAAATAATGCTTCAGAACAAATCCTAGAAGGGAAGAGCCAACAAAGGGTGGGTGAGCATTTTCTAGCCCAAGATGACTTAGGAGGTCTGTAACCCTGAGGTCAGGGCTGGCCCAGAGCACAGCACAGCTGGCTGTACCAGCAACAGGCCTTGGGGGTGGCTGTGACGGTGCTGGCAGCCCAGAGATGGGAAGGGGGTCAGGCAACTGGTTGGAAAGGGATTACAGGGCACCCTTCTTTTGCCACTGGGTTCAAGCCCCTGCTGCATTGCCCACACATAGCTGCAGGTCACCGTTCTGGGGCCAAGAGGACCACTAGCACTTGTAGTTGCAAGGGCACAGGGGCCCTAGCTAGGTAAAGACCAGAGTCAAGCGCCACCCCTTTCCCTGATTCACACCACCTTGAAGATACCAAAAGCTTACAGACCCCAGACCCAGCTCTGAAAACAGCAGCATGAAAAAGCCTGAAGCTTGGGATAGTGTCCCTGCGCCTCCAACCCCATCCTAAACCCAGGTGAGCAGAGCCCAACTTTACCATAAAGTTAACAATCAAGACATGGGCTGGACAAATGAGAAAACAACAAGAAAAAAGAAATAACCTGACCATAAAAAGCTACTATGGTGACAGGGAAGATCAAGACAAACTCAGAAGAAGACATCAGTGTCAAAATCTCTATAAGCAAAGTCTCAAAGAAAACTAAATTGGACATAAGCCCAACAAGAATTCCTGGAAGAGCTCAAAACAGTTTTTAAAAACCAAATAAAAGAGGTAGAAGAAAAACTGGGAAAAGAAATGAGAGTGATGCAAGAAAACTATGAAAAATCAACAGCTTAGTAAAAAAGGCACAAAAAGTACTAAAGAAAATAACACTTTAAAAAACAGAATTGGCCAAATGATAAAAGAGGCACAAAAATTCTCTGAAGAAAAGAACTCCCTAAAAAACAGAACTGGTCAAATGGAAAAGGAGGTACAAAAGATCATCAAAGAAAATAATTCCTTAAAAAAGAAGAACTGGTCAAGTGGATGTTAATGACTCCATGAGACATCAAAAAACAATAAAACAAAGACAAAAGAATTTTAAAAACAGGAGAAAATCTGAACCATCTCATCAGAAAGACAAGCGACCTGGAAAACAGATTGAGGAGGGATAATTTAAGAATTATTGGACTGCCTGAAAATCATGATTAAAAAAGGGATCTAGACATATTTCAAGAAATTATCAAGGAAAACAACCCTGCTATCCTAGAATAATAGGGTAAAATAGAATTGAAAGAATCTACTGATTAACTCCTGAAAGGGATCCCAAAATGAAAACTCCCAGGAATATTACAGCCAAATTTCAAAGATCCCAGGTCAAAATATTGCAAACAACCAGAAAGAAACAATTCAAATATCATGGTGCCACAGTCAGAATCACATAAGATTTAACAGTTTCCACATTAAAGGAGAAGAAAATATGATATTCCAGAAGGCAAAGGAGCTAGGACTATAATAGAGAATAACCTACCCAGTGAGACTGAGTATAATCCTTCGGGGGGGGGGAAATGAAAAGAGCAGAGCAGAACAGAAAATCTGACATCCAAACACAAGACTCAAGAGAAGCACAAAAAGGTGAACAGAATAGAGAAATCTTAAGGGACTTAATGTGGTTAAACTGTTTACATTCTTTTATAGGAAGATGATACTTGTAACTCCTAAGAATGGAATCATTACTAGGGAAGTCAGAAGGAGTATACATAGACAGAGGGCACAGGTATGAGTTGATTATGACAGGATTATCTCAAAGAAAAAATTAATGGATGAAAAAGAGGGATACACTGGGACAAAAAAAAAAGGAAGAACAGCAAAAATTATCTCCTATAAAACAGGCACCCAAGGAAGAGCTTTTATAGTGGCAGGGATAAATGAGGGTGGGGTGGCGGAAAATGCCCGAACCTTACCCTCATTGAAATTGGTTCAAAAAAGGGAATAACATACACACTCAGTTTGGTATAGAAATCTAGGTTATTCAACAGGGAAGTAAGAGGGGAGGGAACAGAAATGTGGAAGAGGGGATGCTGGGTTGATAGGACAGGCAGATTAAGGGAGAAGGGAGGCAGTGATCCGAAGCAAAACAGACTTCTGAGGAGAGAGAGAGAGAGAGAGAGAGAGAGAGAGAGAGAGAGAGAGAGAGAGAGAGAGAGAGAGAGAGAGAGAGAGAGACAGACAGAGAGAGAGAGAGAGGGAGAGAGAGAGAGAGAGAGAGACAGAGAGAGAGAGACAGAGAGAGAGAAAGAGAAGGATAAACAGGGGGGAAATAAGATGGAGGGAAATACAGTTAGTAATCATAACTATGAATGTGAATGGGATGAACTCATCCATAAAATGAAAGCAGATAGCAGAATGGATTAAAAACCCGAATCCAACAATATGTTGTTTACAAGAAACACACTTGAAACAGAGAGACACACAGAATCAAAATAAGGGACTGGAGCAGAATCTATTACACTTCAGATGAGATTAAAAAAAAAAACACAACAGCAGTAGCAATCATGATCCCAGACAAAGCAAATATAAAAAGACATCTAATTAAAAGAGATAAGCAAGGAAACTACATTGCTAAAAGGTACCATAGACAACAAAGTAACATCAATATTAAACATATATGCAACAAATGGTATAGCACCCAAATTCTTAAAGGAAAAGTTAAATGAATTACAGAATGAAACAAACAGTAAAACTATACTAATGGGACACCTCAACTTTTCCTTCTCAGAACTAGATATATCTAAATATAAAATAAAGAAGAAAGAAGTTACGGAGATGAAGAGACTTTTAGAAAAATTAAATATGATAGATGTCAAGAAAATTGAACAGGAATAGAAAGGAGTGTACCTTTTTTTCAACTGCACATGGCACCTTCACAAAAATTAAACATGTATTAGGGCATAAAAATCTCACAACCAAATGCAGAAAAGCAGAAATATTAAAATGCATCCTTTTCAGACCACAATGCAATAAAAATTATATTCAATAAAGAGCTATGGAAACATAAATTAAACATTAATTGGAAACTAAATAATTTAATCCTGAAAAATGAGCGGATAAAAGAACAAATCATAGAAACAATAAATAATTTCATTAAAAAGAAGGACAACAATGAGAAAACATTCTAAAATTTATGGGGTAAAACCAAAGCAATACTTAGGGGGAAATTTATATCTCTAAATACTTATACCAATAAAAGAGAAAAAGAGCAGATCAATGAACTGGGCATGCAACTGAAAAAAACTAGAAGAACAAATTCTAAAATCCCCAATTAAATACCAAATTGGAAATCCTGAAAAATCAAAGGAGTGATTAATAAAATTCAAAGTAAGAAAATCACTTAAGAAAAAAATAAATCTAGGAGCTGGTTTTATTAAAAAAAAATCCCACTATAAAATAGATGAACCACTGGTTAATTTAATATTAAAAAAAAAAGAAAGAAAAGAATCAAATCACCAGTATCAAAGATGAAGAGGGTGAATTCACCACCAATGAAGATGAAATTAAAGCAATTATTAGGAGCTATTTTGCCCAATTATATGCCAACAAATGACAATCTAAGAGAAATGGATGAATACTAACATATAATATATTGCCCAGATTAACAGAAGAGGAATAGAATACCTAAATAATCCTGTTCTAAAAAAAGAAACCAAACATGTTATCAATGAACTCCCCAAGAAAAAAAATCACCAGGACCAGACAGATTCACAAGTGAACTGTACTAAACATTTAAAGAACAATGAATTCCAATACCGTGCAAACTATTTGGAAAAATAAGCAAAGGAGTCCTACTAAATTCCTTTTACAATATAGATGTGGTACTAATACCTAAGCCAGGAAGAGCAAACACAGAGAAAGAAAACTATAGACCAATTTGCCTAATGAATACTGATGAAAAAAAAATTTAAATAAAATACTAGCAAGGAAATTACAGCAATATATCACAAAGATCACACACTATGACCAGGTGGGATTTGTACCAGGAAGACAGGGCTGGTCCAATACTAGGAAAACTATAAGCATAATTGATCAGATCAGTAACAAAGGCAACAAAAATTATATAATTACATCAACAGATGTAGAAAGAGCTTGACAAAATACGACACTCATTCTCTATTAAAGACACTAGAAAGCATAGGAATAAATGGAGCTTTTCTAAAATAAGCAGTATCTTTCTAAAATCATGAGCAAGCTTTATCTGTAGTGGGGATAAGCTAAAAGCCTTCCCATTAAGATCTGGGGTGAAGCAAGGATGCCCATTATCACCACTATTATTCAATATTGCACTAGAAATGTTAGCTATAGCTGTAAGAGAAGAAAAAGAAATCAAAGGAATTAGAATATGCAATGAGGAAATAAAGCTAACACTCTGCACAGGATACGATGGTATACTTAGAGAATACTAGAGGATCAACTGAAAACTAAATTAAATGATTAGCAATTGCAGCAAAGTTGAAGGATGTGAAATAAGCCCACATAAATCTCCAGGATTTCTATATGTTACTAACAAAATCCAGGAAGAGACAGAAAGAGAAATTTCATTTAAAATAACTGCAGACAACATAAAATACTTAGCCGTCGACCTGCCAAGATAAACTCGGGAACTATATGTATACAATTACAAAACACTTTTCACACAAATAAAGTCAGATCTAAACAGCTGGATAAATATTCATTGCTTGTGGATAGGCCAAGCTAATATAATAAAAATGACAATTATACCTAAATTAATCTACTTGTTCAGTGCCATA